CACTGAAGGTTTCGAGGGAGGAGCATGATCACATTGGTGTCCCTGAGCAGCAGTTCTGGTGGGAGCATGAGGGAGGATGGGTTCGAGAGGGCTGAGGCTGGTATGTGGGGTGCTTGTAGGGAGGAGGCCAAGGGCCTACTGATGAGGGTGGGTGCTAAGGCAGTGTGTGGGGAGGGGGGTGTTGGGCAGGGGATCAGTTTTAATGACAGGCCTTGGTCAGTCAGTGGCCTGGGAGGGTGTTGAGTGAGGGGGTAGGAGAATAGGCAAGGTGAAGAAGGCGGGAGAGGCAGAGTTAGGGAGGATAGAGGTTTTTTTAGCTTGGGTGGGCAGTGAGGCTACCAAATTAGATTACAGGAGGGAGAGCAAGGCTGAGAGTCGGGACCAGGAGAGGAGTTGGATTTTGAGACATGTTAGTCTCGAGGCCTCAGAGACCATCCCCTTTATTTAAAAGAGCACGATCATGCTCTCTGCTAAGCAGTGTTCCGAATAGTCCCGAGGTAGGTGCAGTCATCCCCGCTCCGCAGGCGATGGAGCTGAGGCACAGAGAAGTTGCCTGAAAAGCCATTATGCACCCGTGTCCTGGTGGTGAAAACACCTGCTGGTAGGATTGAGCACTTCCCGGGGGTTAATTTCTGTGCTAGCCCTTTACCTGGATTCTCCCATTTAACCCTCCCGCCGCTAGGAGGAGGCCACATTAAGAAGAGACCAGGCACTTAACTTGCCCAAGATCACAGTTAGTGGGGGGCAGAGCTGGGCTCAAGCCCGCCTGCCTAGCCCCAGGGCCTGTGCTCATAACCACTGCTCCACGTGCCTTCCCTCCCATGCGGGAGGATCGGCACCTTGGCAGGTTTCAACAGGCTGAAGGTTTCTTAACAGTTTCTGCAGATTTGGACTTTTTATTTCTGTGGTGCCCATCCTCTAACCTGGAAAATGACTAGGACAGTACTAATACTTCCTGCACTTTTCAGGGTGAAGCCTGGAGTGGTCAGGATACAGGCACAAGAAACCGGGGTCACTTGGTAAATGGCGGTGTCTAATCCTAGCTTTGCAGCCCCGACAGCTGGTTTTCGGAGAGTTTCATCCTCACCTAGGACTTCTGCTGCATGCTGTCTGGCACAGTCGGCGGGGAGGGGAGAGGCAGGACAGCAGATGACGAAACAGTGCGGGCGATTCTACCTGCCTTTCCGCTCAGCGAGTTCTTTTCCCAGAGGGGGTGTGACTGGGGCTGTGCATCTGCCAGGCCCTCCGTCGGCTCAAAGTGTGGGCATCCTGCCACACGAGTAGGCCACAGCGTTTAGAACACGCACGCCAGATGTGCATGCCTTCATGCAGGCTGACTGCTGCCCTGGCGCTCAGCTGGGCTTCACCACTGCCAGAGGAAATAGCGCTTTGGACCAGAGAGCCAAGAGGTTGGCTTCCCAAGGAATTTTTAGAATAATTTTGAACGGAACAGGATTTGTTTCCCTGACACACCTACTCCTGTTTTCCCTACACTCCTGTCTCTGTTGCCATGTGAATCAGTGTGTGGCTGGGCTCTGGCCCCCACGAGTCAGGCGGGAGTAGAGACCTTCCCTGGAAGTGCTGCATGCCCTCGATTGGTGGGGGCTTTCTGCGGTGGCCTTGGGGTATTTCTGGTTTTTGAATGGGAGTTCATGGGCAAAGCTCATTCTACCAGGAGGTTCCACACTCCTCAGAGGCATCGTTCTCACCAGCTGCCTATGTTCCGAAGAAGCACTTGAACTGTGACGCACCCTTGGGCCTCCTTTTGATAACCTGAGCATTAGTAGAAGCAGTCCTTGTATTGACGAAGAGTCCTGCCAGGAGGAGTGGCTGCTGAGAAATCTGCTGGAGGCCCCTGGCGTGCATGAGGATGTATCAGAACCAGGGCCCTCCTGATCTTGCTTAATGCTCCTCTGAGTTACAGTAGGATCTGTGCGGCATGATCAGTTCCTGTTCCGGATGCCCCGGTCAGCCCAGAGCTTCCTCAACATCACTAGTGTTGATATTTTGGACCGGATGATTCTTTGTCCTGGAGGGCTGTCCTGTGCCTTGGACCCTGAGCAGCATCCCTGGCCTCCACCCACTAGATGCCAGAAGCACCACCCCCCTGCCAATAGTCAGGACGTTCGAAAGTCTCCCAAGGGGAGATAGGGAGCTATGCTTAAAGGTTACAGAGTTTCTATGTGGGGTATGACAAAGTTTTGGAAGCAGATGGTGGTGATGATCGCACAATGTTGTGAATGTAATTAATGCCGTTGAAAATAATGAGGATGGCAGATTTATCATATATTTTACCACAATTTAAAGAAATTGCCAAGGGACGCCTAGGTGGCTCAGTCTGTTAAGCGCCTGCCTCTGGTTCAGGTTGCGATCTCAGGGTCCTGGGATCCCTGCTCAGCGGGGAGTCTGCTTCTCCCTCTCCCTCTGCCTGCCACCCCCCCCTGCTTGTACGTGCGCGCTCTCCCTTTCTCTCTGTCAAATAAATAAATAAAATCTTAAAAGAAAAATAAAGAAATTGCCAAATGTCCCCTGAGGAAGGAAATTGCCCCTGGTTGAGAACCACCGGCCTAGAAGGCCTATTATCTGATGCACAATTTTAGGATGTGCCCCACCAGGCAGTCTGGCTGCTTTTTATCTCTTCTTTTGATTTTATGTGTCAGGTGAAGGATTTTGGAATTGTTAGCCATTTCTTTCTTTTTTTAAATTGTGGTAAAATACACCAAATTTACCATTTTACCACGAAGTGGCATTAAGTGTAGTCACATCGCGCAGCCATCGTCACCATCCGCCTCAGAACCGTGTCGTCTTCCCAGACTGCCGCTCTGTCCCCACTGCACAGTGACTCCCACCCCCCTCCCCTCCGCCCTGCAGCCACCCTCTGCTCTGTCTGCCGTTATTCCTTCGTTCTTTTCATCTGACGTCCGTCAGACAGCAGAGATGCTGAAGGATCATCCTGGGTCCTTTATGGATGCGGGGTCAGTTCTCTCACGCACACACACAAAACGTCCTGGGTATGCGGGCTTTTTAAAAATCCTGATGCAAATGATAGAACCCGTGGAGGGGAATTTGGCAACATCCAGCAACGTTTCAGTTGTATTTACCCATCGACGCAGCAACTTCACATCTGTGTGATTTCCGTTCTTTTAAAACCTGTAACGAATGAGGAGAAAAGACGTCTTTGCTTTGTGAGCAGGAGGGTCTCCAGAAGCCTTCCCGGCAGGAGCACCGGGGAACTGAAGGAAGGGAGTCTGAGGGTCACGTGGTGGGCGGGAAGCTCGCCGCAAACGGGCTGTTGCTGACCCCTTTTTCTTTCTTTCTAGATGGGGGGAGGGGTAGAGGGAGAAAGAGAATCTTAGGCTAGGGCGTGGAGCCCGATGCAGGGCTTGATCCCACAACACTGAGATCATGACCTGAACCAAAATCAAGTGTTGGTGGTTAACCAACTGAGTCACGCAGGCATCCCTGGAACTCCTTACTCTTCTTCTTTTTCTTTTTTTTTTATTTATTCATTTGAGAAAGAGAGCACAGGAGAGCATGAGCGGGGGGAGGGGGAGAGGGAGAAGAAGACTCCTTGCTGATCTGGGAGCCTTATGCGGGGCCCGATGCCAGGACACTGGGATCATGACCTGAGCCGAAAGCAGATGCTTAACCCACTGAGCGCCCCCTCCTTACTCTTCTTAAACCTCCCCCTCCATTGCCTGTATGGTTGATGACTCTGTGGTTGACACACAGGCCCTCCACGACCTGGCTCACCCGTATGCCTCTCAGCCAGGTCCAGCCACACGGGCCCCTACCCCGTCATTTCCTGCCTCTTCCTCCGCCACCAGCTGGCTTCCTGTACGAGTGCCCTCCTCTTCACAACTCCCCGGTCCAAACTGGGTCCTTATTTGTGATTCAGCTCAGAAGCCCTGTCCTCCAGGAATCCTTCTCTGCTCTCCTCTGGTGAACATTTGAGTGCCTGTAGCACGTCCACCACAGCAAAGGATGAGTCCGGTGTCTGTCAGATTCTTTCTAGCTGTCTTTCCGCTTAGTCCAAGGTTTGGCCCCCAGCAGACCCTGAAGAGGTGCTGGCTGCACGATGGAGCACGTGTTTCCTGCCTGAGCTAAGCCCCTCTGTCTGTGTCTCGTGTAATCCTCACAACAGCCCTTTGACGGAGATGCTATGATTATCTCTTCCAGAGGAGGAAACTGAAGCTCCGAGAGATGAAGAACTTGCCTAGGGTCACACAGCTAGTGAGCTGCAGAGCTGGGGTCGGTGCCCAGGCCTTTCTGCCTTTTGCCCACTATGGATTAGTGGGATGGCTACAACTCCACGTGGGACACGTAAAACAGTGTGGGAGGTGGTAAACTTCTGATGATGCCACAATTTCGAGAGAACACTTATTTTTGGGGTGCCTGGCGGGCTCAGGCAGTAGAGCATGCAACTCTCAGTCTCAGGGTTGTGAGTTCAAGCCCCATGGTGGGCATGGAGCTGACTTTAAAAAAACAAAAACAAAAACAAAAACACATTTATTTTTTAAATCATTGTATCCAGGGGGTTTTAGCTAAACCCTTCCCCAAGAATAGCTCAAAAAAAGCTGGGGCTTTATCACCACTGTGGCTTGAGGTTTGGGGAAGGCAGCCAGAGAGAGAAATTGGTCTTCCCAGACTCCACATAGCAGCAACTTCCTGGGAGCTGGTGTTTCATGGTCCCTCATCCTGGTAGGTGAGATTGGGATGTTGGAGAAAGACCATAGAATCAACTCTTTTTTTTTTTTGAATATTTTGAATATTTTATTTATTTATTTGAGAGAGAGAGAAAGCACAAGCAGGAGGGAAGGGGAGAGTGAGAAGCAGACTCCCCACTGAGCAGGGAACCCTATGTGGGACTTGATCCCAGGACCCTGGGATCACGACCTGAGCTAAAGGCAGCCGCTTAACTGACTGAGCTACCCAGGCACCCCCAGAATCTCCTCTTTGTCTCTGTGTTGCTTCTTGAACCCCCACCTCCTTAAGGGGCCATGACCATCAGGTGCTGTCTTGAGTCCTCTGGGGCACAGAGCCAAATCCATCCCGTTCCAAGGCCTCCGTTCCCATAGAAGATGTGAGACCTGTAAATAAATTACCTTAATGTTCAGAAAAGGAGTTAATGTGGTACTGAGAGACACAAGTTCTTGCTGTTGAAGTGAGGAGGAGGGAGACCTGCTTCCAGCCCAGGCTGCTCCTAACGGTGGCTCAGGGAGGCCCAGCTCTGGCCTGGTTTTCAGGGGCTTGTGCTAAGGCTGCACGTTCTGACACCCCCCACCCTCACTGAGGGCCCCGCTCTTAAACTGCAGAGGGTATGACAAGAGGCTTGGTGCCTGGAGCGGCCTGTCTCCGGCAAGGAAAGCTAGGCTCTGGCAGATGTCTCCCTGTGTTGAAGTATCCGGACACTCTGACTCTGGACTGGTGAGGGGAATCAACGAACAGATACTTGAGGGATCCTTTGTACCTTGCACTTCATGTAACATAGTCATTTAGTTCTGGCTACACACCTATTTTGCAGACTCAGGACCAGACCTTGGAAATGACTGTAATTTGCCCGGGGCTGTGTGGCTGAGGCAGCTGTGAACTGTAGTCTGATGCTGAGTGTGCAAGGTTGGACAGCAGGCATGAATGGAGCCGTGCTGCTGGGGAGAAGAAAGGACTGGTCCAGGGCGGTGCGGAGGACGGTGGCTGGGAGTCGGTCGGGAGGCTCAGCTGGGCCAAGTCCAGATGTGTAGGGTACAGTGGCCTGCGTGTCTTTGGGGATGGAAGTGTCTGTGGCTGGGGGCAAACAGTGCAGAAGGAAAAGAGAGGGGAGGGGGGGTGCTGTAGGGCAGGGATCCTTTCCTGGCTCTGAGGTGGGCTCCAGAGTCTGCACAGTGAGCTGTAAGCTGGTGTTCCCATGGGCTGACCGCTTGCTCTTCCCTCTGCTGCCTCACTCTGTAGGTGATCGCCGTGGTGATGGATGTTTTCACGGACATTGACATCTTCAGGGACCTGCAGGAAATAAGTCGGAAACAGGGAGTCGCTGTCTACATCCTTCTGGACCAGGCTCTGCTTTCGCAGTTTTTGGATATGTGCATGGATCTGAAAGTGCATCCTGAGCAGGAGAAGGTTTGTGTTACACGTTTCCAGTCTCCCCACAATCAGCAGTAATGACTGAGTGTCCGAGACCTACATTGTCTGTACGGTGGTGGGCGGGGGATCCCCATGACAGGAGAGGCAACTGAGGCCATGAGCAAAGCCATTTGCCTGAAATCTCACAGAAAAGAAACCACAGGGAAGGCAAGCTGGTGCAGCCACTCTGGAAAAGAGTATGAGGTTCCTCAAAAAGTTAAAAATAGAGCTACCCTGTGACCCAGCAATTGCACTACTGGGTATTTACCCCAAAGATACAAATGTAGGGGTCTGAAGGGACACGTGCACCCCAATGTTCATAACAGCCAATAGCCAAACTGTGGAAAGAGCCCAGATGTCCATCGACAGATGAATGGATAAAGAACATGTGGTATATATACACAATGGAATATTAGCAGCCATCAAAAAATGAAATCTTGCCATTTGCAACAACGTGGATTGAACTACAAGGTATTATGCTAAGCGAGATACGTCAATCAGAGAAAAACAACTATCATATAATTTCGCTCATATGTGGAATTTAAGAAACAAAACAGATGAACACAGGGGAAGTGAGGGGGAAATAAAATAAGATGAAACCAGAGAGGGAGACAAACCATAAGAGATTCTCAATCATAGGAAACAAACTGAGGGTTGCTGGAGGGGGAGGGGAGTAGGCAGATGGGGGAACTGGGTGATGGACATTAAGGAGGGCACGCGATGGAATGAGCACTGGGTGTTATATGCAACTGATGAATCTCTGAACTCTACCTCTGAAACTAATAATATACTAGTTATTATCCATGTTAATGGAATTTAAATAAATAAATAAAAATAAATTACCACCGTGACTAGGAAAAAAAAAAAAAGAAACCGCAGAGTCAGGACTCAAACCTTGACTTGCCCCTCATGTCCCGCTCCATCCTAACCAGGAGCTCAGCTCTTGCCAGCAGGAGGCTGTCTTGAAGGTGCTGCTTTTCACAGCGGCGCCGGCAGGCCCTCCGCTCATAGAGCTCCTGCTCTGTCCTTGGCACTGCCCTAGGCTTCTGACAAACGTTATGTGACTCAGTCCTCACCGCAGCCCTGTTTCAGCTCCGAAGTGGTGGCATAGAGAGCCCAGCGTCGACCAGTAGAAAGGAGTGGGCCAAGGGTGTGACTCCCCATCAGTGCACCTGCCCGTCTCCTGCCCGGCTGTTCCTGATCACCTTCATGTGCTGCTCTCGGTTCTCGTTCTTGTTTTTAAAGATTTTGTTTATTTATCTGAGAGAGAGAGAGCACAAGCAGGGGGAGTGGCAGGCAGATGGAGAGGGAGAAGCAGGCTTCCCGCCGAGCAGGGAGCCCGATGCGGGGCTCGATCCCGGGACTCCAGGATCATGACCTGAGCCGAAGGCAGACGCTTAACTGACTGAGCCACCCAGGCGCCCCTTGATTCTCATTCTTTTTTTTTTTTTTTTTTAATTTATTTTTTTTATTTTATTTTTTTTTATTCTTATGTTAATCCCCATACATTACATCATTAGTTCTAGATGAAGTGTTCCATGATTCATTGTTCGTGCACAACACCCAGTGCTCCATGCAGAACGTGCCCTCCTCAATACCCACCACCAGGCCAACCCATCCTCCCACCCCCCTCCCCTCTAGAACCCTCAGTTTGTTTTTCAGAGTCCATCGTCTCTCATGGTTCGTCCACCCCTCCGATTTCCCCCGCTTCATTCCTCCCCTCCCGCTACCTTCTTCTTCTTCTTTTTTTTTTTTTCTTAACATATCTTGCATTATTTGTCTCAGAGGTACAGATCTGAGATTCAACAGTCCTGCACAATTCACAGCGCTTACCAGAGCACGTACCCTCCCCAGTGTCTATCACCCAGTCACCCCATCCCTCCCACCCCACCCCCCACTCCAACAACACTCAGTTTGTTTCCTGCAATTAAGAATTCCTCATATCAATGAGTTGATTCTCATTCTTATAAAATTAGGCTTTTTATATCCTTTGCTCTGAGCATGAAAATAGTTTGAGCTTGGGGTGCTCTCTGCTCGGCGGGAAGCCTGCTTCTCCCTCTCCCACTCCCCCTGCTTATGTTCCCTCTCTCACTGTCTCTCTGTCAAATAAATAAATAAAACCTTTAAAAAAAATTTGAGCTTAAGTATTTAAATGTAAGGTTATATAAGTCAGCTAGCCGATTCTCTGTAGTGGAAAGAGGCAAGAAAAATCATCATATTTGTTATTCATCTTTTTAAATCAAGCATCTTAATGTGAGCCGTGAGCTTCGGGACTTAATTCATCCACTTGGTTCATCACCTATGTGAGCACCTTCTCTGAGCCACTTACTATTCTAGGTACTGGAAAGAAAGCAGTAAACAAACCGAACTAGGAATTTGGGCTTTGGTACTGTAGGCTACTTGTGTAATGAATGTCAGCTTACCACCTTGTTATTAACAAGTAACTTGGTCTACAAAATGTCACCATTTACTGTCCCCCGCAGAGTTCCCGGGGGTGGTTTTCCCTAATGAGGAACCTGAGGATTGGGTTTAATTAGGTAGTTACTGGTTGCTGCAGCTACAAAGCCTATTCATGTTCACGGTGGTGGTAGAATTGGAGCTTAGAGCCAGAATGAAATGGTCCAGCCACGTGACCCAGCACTAGCTGAAACAGGAGGTCAGGGGGGCCCCAGGAAAATGCATGTCGGGCACGGAAAAGCACGTTCTCATCTAGCCAGACATCCAGCCTGTGCCGGCTCTTACCTAGAGCCCGGTGAAGCAATGCAGGATGACCCTGTGGAACTCCGAGGCTCTCTGTCTGAAACTAAGGCTGTGTGTCAGCAGCAGGAATCTCACAGCGTGGCTCTGGCCGCAGCTCTGATTGGGACATTGGCTGCAACCCATGCACTCCGTGGAGATCTAGCATTACCTACCGACTTGGTTGCACACTGTTGAATGTTGCCCGAGGGAAGAGTTGAAAGGTCTGTACCTTTGGCTTCAGCAATTTTCTAGTGTCTTAACTTCTTCCTAGAGAAGCACCATCTTCTCTGGTGGCTTCTCACCCGGGCGCATCTGCTGGTGAATCTGTCCCTCACCCAGTGGGGCTGACCTCCGCCCTGGCTCCGTGGCTGGTTCTGAGCGGGTGTCCTGTCTGTCGGAACTTGGTCATGTATTTGTGTGTAGACACTCAAAAGTGCTTTGGCCACAATCACAGGGGCCTGTACGACATTCAGGTAAGTGCCAAAGGGAAATATGTACAAAACCACACCAAAATGTACCCATAGTGATATTTTTTAATGCTTGTTTATTATATGTTGATCCTTAAAGGTTGGATCAGGAATTAGCATCTCCTTCAGGAAGCCGCCCCCCAACTGTGCCCTGCCCTCCCCGCCCCTGCCTGTTCCATGTATGTGTACAACTTTTTGGAAGTTCCTAAGCTTTTTTGTTTGTTTAATTTTATTTTAAAACAATTCAATTTACAAGAGTTACAAAAATAAGGAATTCCTTTTTTTTTTAATTTGTTTTATTTTTTAAGTAGGCACCATGCCCAACATGGGGCTCAAACTCACAACCCTGAGATCAAGAGTCACAGGCTCTACCACCTGAGCTAGCCAGGTGCCCCCAAATGTAGGGAATTCCTGAATACTCTTTGCCCAGACTGTCTAAATGTTAACATCTTATAAACCCCTCAGTGCAATTTCAAAATTGAGAAATAAATTTGATATAATACAGTTATCTAATTTACAGACCTTATCAACTTCACTGATCATTCCACAAATGCCCTATTTCTTGTCCAGGATCCAACTCAGGACCATATCTTGCATTGGGTTGTCATGTCTCCTTAGCATCCTCTCATCTGGAACTGTTCCTCTGTCTTCCTTTGTCTTTTAGGGTCTTGATGCTTTTAGAGAACACTAGCCAGTTTTCTGTAGAATTTGGGTTTGTCTGACATTGCCTCATGGTCAAATTCAGATATGTGTTTTGGTAAGACCACAGAAGGGATGTTATGTCATACCATACTGTTTTGTTTTGGCTTTTGTTTGTATTTTGAAATAATGACAGATTCACAGAAGCTGCAAAGGTAGATAGCGGGTTCCACGTGTCCTTCACCCAGTTTCCCCCAGTGGTTACATCTTGAGTAACTTAGAGTACAAAATCAAAGCCTGGAAATTGGAGTTGGTACAATGTGTGTCTGTAGTTCTGTGCCATTTCATCACACATGGACTCATGTGTACCTGCCCCCACCATCACAATACAGGACTGTCCTGTCACAATGATCTCCCTCTTGCTACCGTTATGGTCCCATCTGCTCCCCTCTCTGTGCCTTCCTCCTGATTTTTAACCCCTGGCAACCAGTAATTTGTTCCCCATCTCTGGGGCGCCTGGGTGCCTCAGTCGGTGTTAAGCATCTGCTTTCGGCTCAGATCATGGTCCCAGGGTCCTGGGATTGAGCCCCGCATCGGGCTCCCTGCTCGGCGGGAAGCCTGCTTCTCCCTCTCCCACTCCCCCTGCTTGTGTTCCCTCTCTCGCTGTTTTTCCCTCTGTCAAATAAATAAAATCTTAAAAAAAAAAAAAAATTTGTTCCCCATCTCTATAGTTTTGTCAGTTAGAGAATGTTCTATAAATGGAATCATAGTGTATGTGACTTTTTTTTTTAAGATTTATTTTAGAGAGGGAGAGTACGCACACATATGTGTGCAAGCAAGGGGCGGAGGGGCGGAAGGAGAGGGAGAGAGAGACTCTGAAGCAGAGTCTGCACTCAGCGCGGAGCTGGACGTGGGGCTCGATCTCACGACTGACATCATGACCTGAGTTGAAACCAGGAGTTGGCCACTTAACCGACTGCACCACCCACGTGCCCCACTATGTAACCTGTTGAGATTGGCTTTTTTTGTCCTGCACAATGCCCTTGAGATCCGCCCAAATTGTTGTGTGTATCCGTAGTTTGTTGTTTCTACTGCTGAGTTGTGTCATGGGGTATGGTTGTCCCATGGTTTGTTTAACCGGTCACCCACTGAAGGGCTTTAGGATGGCTTCCAGTTTTGTGCTATTATGAGGAGAGTTGCTATGGATCTTTGTGCACAGGTTTTTGTGTAGTTGTAGGTTTTCACTTCTCTGGACGATGTCCTATCTTGTTGTGGTTTTTCATCCTGCATTACTTTCCTCTCTCCTAGTCCTTAAAGATAAGGGGCATGCCAGATATCTCTGTTGTCTCAAGGCTCAGCACATTGTAGGGGCTTTCTTTGTTTATGGAATGAAGGAGAGGGTCGAACAAATATCTTAAACATTTCATTTGAATCATGTTAAGATTTCTAAAGGTATATAGTTTACTCAGTGCTGATTTGCCCCAAAGAATGCAGATGGTCTTAATACTTTACATACCATTGGATATATGTTTCCATGCATCATTTTACAAGGATAATTATGCCCACATATGCACCATGAGGCCCCAGTATGTTGGTGCCCTTTTGGTAAATTCATTCTTACAAGAGATGTGACATTGCTGATTAAGCCCCTTGTGATATGAGTGTTTCAGCCTCAGAAGTCCCATGTTAGAGAAGGCTTGTCCTGATCTCCAGACTCATGGTGTGGGGTAAGTGAGGATGGGCTATTATTATTCATTACTGATGCTGTTAAATAAAAAAGTAGGAGAAATAGCAGGTTAGCTTCTTTAAGCCTTTGTTAAAATGATATTTATTACTAGCGTGTTTTCTTTGATGATTTTATCCCCCACGTTTTGTTTCAAAATCACTTCTTGGATTCTGTTGTGTCATATCCCCAACAGTGAGTCTTCTTTTCAAGCACATGTACACAAGGACCAAGAGTCTCAAAAATCAGTGTGATCAAAGGGCTCACAAGAAGATGGACTCAGTGAGGTCGCATTCCTTGAGTCCTGAACACTGTTGGCTCGTGTGCCCTGTATGGTGTTCCTGAAGGGGCCTGGGGACCACTCCTTTGCCAATGAGTGCGTCTATTGGGGAATTATAAACAAAGCCCTCTTTATCATTTGCTCACTGGACTGTTGTTTCTTTTTCTCCCATTCCCTGCCGACAGCTGATGACCGTTCGGACCATTACTGGAAGTATTTACTATGCAAGGTCGGGAACTAAGATAGTTGGGCAGGTTCATGAAAAGTTCACACTGATTGATGGCATTCGAGTGGCTACAGGCTCCTATAGGTAAGTCTCTAGCCTGCCTATGCTTGCTACTCTAACCTTTGTAGAACGTGCTTGCTGTATAAAGATAAAAGCTGCTTTTTCCTCTCAATGCGAGTCTTTGTGGCCAAGCATTCTGGTAGGTGTGCATCTGTGGGTGTGAGTATATCAGTCAGAGCCTCCTCCTGCAGGAGGTGGTCGGGATGTGGGGTCACACCCCCCCACACCCCCGCCCTATGGGCCACAAAACTAAAGTGCAGATATGAAACTTGCCTGGAGACCCCCGGTGGATGAGTCGATTCCAGCCTCGGCCAGGCCTGCCGTGGCTGAACCAGGGGTTACCAGTGACAGGAGCAGTCTCAGATCCTGTTCCTTGGGGCCTTTGACCTCCCCCTGTCCCTCGCCCCTGCTCACTTGCAGGTAAGGGCAGTCACAGGCCTCAGCATCAGTGGAGGGCAGAGCTGAAGCTGTCACCTTACGCTTAAGTCCTTCACCTTCCTTCAAGCCTTGTAGCCCAGTGCTTTAGTCTAGAAAGCCCTGGTCCCTGTTTCTGGCCCACCTTTGGAGTCTCACCTTGGCACTGGCACCTTATGCTAGGGTGCCGGGATGTTGAAGAGGGTGGAGATGATAGTGGTTCACACGGATCTCCAGAAGTTAAGATATACCATGTTTACTTGGGCGGATCTGATGTGGTGTGTCTGTGTGTTAGATTGTCTGGTGGTATGCATGAGGTATGTCTTGAGCTTAGAAAAGAGAAGCTCCTTTTTGAAGACACATGCGTCTCTGGGTGGTGATGATGTGTCAGCCCTGGATAAAGGCGGACATGGAAAGGACTGTAGAAGCTGAGGTGGTCAGATCTGCAAACTCACGATGCCTGTCCTTGCAGACAGTACCGTCATTGCTCAGAGCAAAATTTACGCTCTTCCTTGAGACCTCCTTTCATGAGATGTTCATAAGTAACTGGAAGAAACTGGATTTTCATCCAAAATAGGCTTTATCTACATTATACAAACTTAGTCTCAAATGGTTTTTGGATCTTCTAAAATATAAAATATAAAAATTACATTACTCTCTCTAAAAAAAATACACTACCGTTGAGGATAAGGATGAAGATGGTAGCTTCTATTTGTTGAAGGCATTTCATAATCCTGGTGTTGGGTAGGTGTCTTGTTTGCATGATTGAAGGTTTTCCATTTCAACCCTCATTGAGGGTTTTCAAAAGAATCTTTCTTCTCCGGCTTTGAAGGCAGTTCTTAAGGTAGGATTTGCATCAGCAAGGAATCTTGGTTGCCAGAGACAGAGTTGACACTATGTGTTATGATCTCCTTTAAAACATCCTATTCTTGATACAAACTTATTTATCAGTGGGGTGACTGCGAGTGCAGAAAGCTAGCTCAATCTACTTTATGCAAAATAGAATTTATTGAGTCCCATAACTTGGAAGTGTAGAAAGGTGCAATTGGTTTTCAGCTTGTCTTGACCTGGAGGGCATATGTTTATCAGAATATTGTCCCCTGGTTCTGCTTTTCTCTAGCTGATCTTTATTCTCAGTCAGGCTTATCCCTTTGAAGGCAAAGATCCAGGCTTACTTACATAGCCTTTAGTAGCTATCTCCCAAAGAGAGAGACTTTCTTTCTGTTTGCACTGGCATCAGTCTTGAAAAACTCCTTGGTCCTCGCTAGGTCATGTGCCCACCCTGGGTAGATCCCCGACCCAAGGGAATGGAATACTCTAGTGGCCAGCCTGGGTCATATGTCCACCCCTGTTGTGATTGGAGAAGATGCATAAAGGAACGCCCTTTGGCTGGGGGTGGGTGGGGTTCTATCACTAGAGGAAGGAGAAGGGATGCTGGACAGGCAGGGGCACATGGCCACTAATGAGCTCAGAATGTGCTCGGAGCAACAGCACCATCTCCCTTTGAAAATGACAGTATTGGAGGGGCGCCTGGGTGGCTCAGTTGGTTAAGCAACTGCCTTCGGCTCAGGTCATGATCCTGGAGTCCCGGGATCGAGTCCCGCATTGGACTCTCTGCTCGGCAGGGAGTCTGCTTCTCCCTCTGACCCTCCTCCCTCTCATGCTCTCTGTCTCTCATTCTCTCTCTCTCAAATAAATAAAT